AGCGTTGTTTATACGCGTCTTTTTTTTTCTCTCTTCATTTCAGCCCAGTTTCTTTCCCCGTCAATATCGGCTTTCTACCTCGCCTTGTCACTTGTCCGTATATTATCTAATTCTGACTATCAATTCGCAATTCTCATATCCAACATCACACATCGCACTTTTCCACCTGCTCTCTTTTAAACCTGTATTCAGCGCTACCTAATTTTTACCCGCCTTCTTCTGCTCAGTGATAATTACTTCGACCTTATTTATATCCCCTTCTCATCCTCGCTTGCCATCTCCCACCTCACACTCGTTTCATTATTTCGCATTGTCTTCCTGTTCGCACCCCGTCAGTCTCCGTTCCGTCTTCCCCTTCCGTCTCATGATCCGTTCGCCATCTCAACTCTCCTTAGTTCCCGATCGGTTTTATCTCCTACACCTCTCTTCTCTTCGCTCGATTATCTCAGTTGCAACTCACTAAGGTCTTGTTCTCAAACCTTGTTCACCACCTCAGCTTCAATCCAACTCCGCACGCCACTGCTTCATCTTGCACTGATTTTCCACCTGTCCCTATTCTGTCGTCTCTTTTCATCTGGCATTTCTATTCGTCCCTCTATTCACGCTACGTCTATGCTCACCTTCTGTCAGCCTTGCTATTTTGCAGATTTAGCAACGACGCTCCTTTACAAGCCTGCTCTCCCAATCAGAACTTCTTATCAACGCTATGAGCCTTATCAGGTCTGCCACCACGCACCAGCCGGGCAATCATGGCTATGAATATATTTGTAGCATTTTCTGATATGTATTTAAAAAATATAAGTAAGAGCATAAATGTGCTACTACATGTCCAGTCTGTGCAATTCATATAACATACAGATAATTCTAATTGAGAGAGTTTGAAGTCCTGTTGTGATTCTTTTTTCTCGAGATTAATTTTATAACCGATAATACTATACCATCAAGGACTTCTTAACAATAACAAGTTAAAAAATCATCTATAATCGGCTAATATGTCTTGCGTAACTAAAGCCATGAAACCCGTTGCGAAAAATTTTACTTCTTTAATAGTGCTGGAATAAATTTTGAATGCACTTAAAATAAATATACCATACCAATGGTCTCAATGTTTCGATATTGTAAGTTCTGAAAAAGAAATTGTTATAAAGAATAACATTGTAGTGTCCGATGCCAGAAGATATCTTAAACGACGCAAAATAATTCCTCCTTCGCATCTCATTTTACTCTTTTTTTTTTGGTATTCTAATACCGAATTTGATTCACCTATTATTATTATATATATATATATATATATATTCCTTGCCTTGACAGATCTCTTCCATTAAGACCTTAATCAAATTCCCGTGTCATATTAACTTATTCACTCATATCACCTTTATATTAATGATTAATCTATTATTAATATTGTTGAGCTTGCTTTTGAGCTCTGTAGCTCTTCTGCCTTTGCTTCTCTTTCTTCCCACAGAGATCTCGACATCCTCCTGCAGCACATTCATTAATAAATGTATTTTGCCTTGTTCTTTCCGCTCACAGCAGCATAATCCGTCTTTCACCACACACTGCACAGTGACTGTTAACGCCCACGTCCCACCCTCAACTTGGCCCCAACCCCATCTACCTTCTCTTCCCGCGCCTGCAGCCCACGCAACCACCCACCTGCCCTCCTCTACAGCCCCACCCTGTCCGCGGCCTGTTTTAATAATACGCGGCTAATAAAGCGCCTTCCCAAAAGCCCCCCGCGGCCACAATGGGCGCGTTAACATTGACGGACGCGCGTTGAATGGCGCTTTCACGTCGCCGCGCCGCCCCTCCCCCTCCACACTCCCTCCCCGGCCCTCCACGCGAGCTGCCCTTGCTTCGCCCCCGATTTACTTTGCCGTATACGCATTTCTTAGATGTAATATATGCGAACCCTGTAGCAACCGGCATCCTATGCTTGTAATATATTCATATACAGGCTGATTCAGTTCTCGTTGCTCATACAGAACACGGTGATAGGGTACCCTAAGTTATTCACAGACTTACAGATTCGCATTTACTCTTCTTCGCATTTCCTGACTTCTAAGTGATTCCATCACCGCTACATTGGCGACATTAAAAAGTGTGTCAATTAACATACTCTCTTGTCATTTTACATATGCACACAACTTACATCTGGAACTTTTACTACTATGAATGTAATCGTTATTACTAATAATCGCTTCCTTTTTGTTTCATTGTCTGTCTTTCAAAAGGGAAACATATTTGTCGACTTCTAGTTGTAAAACCTTTTCTCAAAAGATACAGAGAAGTCAATTTTTATCTGAACCAGAGATAAAGAATTTGTTTGTTCCCGATAGACCAGTAAACAATGGGGAGTGCTGTGCTCTGTAAAACAACTGAATCATGGTTAAGTCGTAGGAAGAAATGCATCTGATAAAGCGACCTGCCTGAAGGTTGGAAATGAATTGAATGTCAGCGTCCGTACTACAAGGAACAACATACAACCCACCGTGACACAAGAAAATTACTTCGATCCAAAGTCCGACGTTCGTCATATTTCTTCCACGACCTGTCACCGTAGCCAGAGCAAACACTGAAACATTGCCACCATTGCTCTGGGTAAAGCCGTTATTTCCGTTGTAGACTGGAACCGAACGTCAAGCCCACATGCCTGTCGCGTAAATGGAGCATTTGACATTCAAACAAATTTAGAACACTATTGTGAAATATCTTTTATTCCTCAGATAATAAAAACTATGGATATTTCACAATAATAAATATGCTGCTAATGGATGGAAATGTCTTTATTAACTCAAATAATAAATCAAACGTATTGTAAACTAAAAATGAAATATTAAATGTCAGGGGAGAGAAATAATGAAGGTATAAAAATAGTTTGAAAGACGGGGAACGCCATTCTTTAATTATTCAAATTAAATTCATAATACTGTGCGAGATTGAGATGATATTTCGCCAATAATTACTTACTCCAATAAATAATGCATATGGTTACACCAATTCTACAATCCGTCATTATCGCGGTTAGAAAATTTTAATTTGGTGGTGAGATGTTACAAATGGGTGATGTTATTATAACTAAGAACCAACGTAAGTATAAAAGGTTCACTGACAGGTAAATATCAATCACATTATTCCAGCTTTCAGTTAAAATTTACTGGTTAGTAGACACACGTAAATCATTGCAACATAGCGAAAATGAATCAAAGGTTACCTAGTAATTTAACAGACAATGAAAGCCGAAATTGAATGATGAATAGGGGTGTGTTCAGCGAATATAGAGGTATTGTTAACTCAAAACGTTCAAACCTGCATCTTATGAATATTTCTCACTCTTCTGTTCAAATGAGACGCATTTGTAAAACCATTATATTTAAGTACCAACCTTGACTGTTGTATTCTTGGCGTATTGCTATTCCTATTTAGCAAACAATATTTTAAGATACAAATACGCCTTAACTGTGGAAATCCTCTTCGTTATTGAACTTTCAATATTCCAGCGTGCACAACTATACTGAGCTTTCGAAAACCAGTGAGCACCGCTTGACGAGAATGGACTTGTCCTGAGCTGCACACCTCAGGCAAGCCTCGGGCCCTCCGGCTGGTCTGTTGCCGGCGCTTCGACGTTGGGCGAGCGCGTTGGGAGCAGCAGATGAACCTGTCGGGTGCTGACAAATGCAGCGCGACGAATGGTGGCGACGGTATGCCGACTGCGGAGGGCAGGCAGGGGCGGGGCAAGCGGTGCCGACGAGCGGTGGGGAGCGGGGTCGGTGGGGTCGATGGGGACGGTGTGGGCAGTGAGGGGAGTGGTGGCTCCAGTGACGCTGGGGATGGTGAAGGAGGCGAGGGCGGTGGGAACGGCGCGGTCAGTGCAGTCGGTAAGGACGGTGGTGAAGGTAAGGGTGTGAGGGCGGTGAGGATAGTGAGGCCAGTGGGGATGTTGAGGGTGATGGCGTTAGGGAGGGCGCGGGAGTGGGGTCGGTTAGGGGAGGGGACGGTTGAAAAGGTAAGGATGGTGATGGTGGCGAAGACTGTGGGAGCGGCAGCGGAGGCAATGGGAACGGCGCGAGTGGTGACGGCCGTTTGTCGGGCAATATTTGCGGAGGCGGCGGGGACGTCGGCGGCAGCGGCAAGATCCAAGGTCGGGAGAGGGGGTGGGGGGAAGGGGACGATTCGCACGCAACATCCCGCTGTAATGGATGTTCCCTTTTATTAGCGCTGCTCTGTGTTGCGAGGGCAGCCGCGCTGCGCGCCACCGGCGGCGTCGCTTCGAGGCGGCCATTAGCGTCTGAGACGACGACGGCGTGACGTAAAACGAGGCGGGGACGTGACGTCGCGGCGGGGCGCGGCGGGGTGCGCCTGTCTGCGGCCGGGATGGCTGCAGCCGGGAAATAATTTTAGCAGGAAATGACGAAACGTCTTGGGGGTTAGGGCTTGAGGCATGAGTCAAGGGAGGGAACTTTGCACGGAAAGGAGAAGAAACAAAGACGGCGAGAAGAAATCCAAATTGAGAATGCATGATAATTATGGCAAACCGTGAAAAAAATATTGAAGGTTGAGAAAAGCATGTTCGTCATTAAAAATCAGAACTAAATATTTAAGTTCCTGAAACACTTGTATGAAATTATTGTCAGAGTTGGTGATAACGTAGGTAAAACAATCGCAATACGAACAAAAATAAACGAAAAAAGATAACAGAAAAAAAAATATTATCAAGTACAAAGAATTTTCTAGTCATAAAATAATATGTAAGAGCTTCGAAAAATGTTAATTAATAAGTTCTAACCACCGTCTGAAATATTTAAAGGTCAGACGCTGGATTGGAGAGCGCAGCAGATAGTTTTAACGATATAAGAAAAATAAATTTTATACGAAAAATAAAATACTGAAAATGAAAGATTAGATACAAGACAGTTTTGAATGTACTGTCAATGAGTAATTCTTGTTTAGAAATAGTATACTTCCACTTGATTTACAAGTTATCAACGAGTCATATCTATTTTTATTTTAGCTTAGTTCTTTGCCTTTCGAATCTCATTCGTCTCTCTCAAGCGCTGCAAACCAAAACTAGAATTACCATCAGTCAGCTGAATCTACACATACTAACACATTGTAAATTTTCGTCAATTAACCAAATTCACTTAAGTGGACACTAAGCCACAAAAATCGTATGAAGAGTCCTTCATATTCGACAATTTTGCAGTTAGAATTGCTTTTCATGTATAAGACTTAAGTAAATAAAACAATGGAAAATAAAACAAATATATTCTAAAAGACATGTACGAATGTTGATCGTTTTATAGTCATGGTTTCAGTGTTAAGAAAGCAGAACATAATGCACAAAGGTCATTGCGAAAATGACAACCAATATTCCTTTGCGCCATCGTATGCCCATTTTTGTAAACATTCTAACATCTATCTAATCTATGTCTATAATCTAGTAAAGTATTCTAGCATATCTTATCAACTTTTGCAAAAAGACAAAAACGCTCGATTCAATCTGTATTCAGAATTCAACTTAACGCATAAGGATTTCAGGATTTAAACCTGCTCATAATACTTTCACCATAGTACGTCACGTATAGTTCCCAACTGTTTTTGGCGTTAAATAAATACACATTTTTTTGCTTCACCAGCATTTAGTCCCCATTCTGCTCTTCCTTGAAACATGATACTCGAGAGATGAGCGTTTCCGTCAGGTATTCTCCGCTGAAGCGGCTGCGCTCTTGGCAAAACGCTAACTCGATCGAGGGCGCTGCGAGGTCTGTCGCTTGCGCATTCACGGGGCGACTCCGGCCCGCCGCCGAATGCACTTCCCCAATATCCGTGTCTCTTCCTCGCTCTTCCTTCTCTTGAATGCATCACGCGAGTCGAGTGGACAGGTTTGGCACAGAGCGTGAGCCAGAAGCGGAAATAGGACAGATTGGAAAATGTCAGCCAAGAACAAAGATTGTTAAATTTAATGTTTCTAATAAAGAATTGTAAAGTTCTGCATAGCACTGATGAATTAAAGTACACTTTGGTATATTACGAACTTTTTATTGTTTATTCTCCGTTAAAAATAATAAGAAATTCAAAATTCAAATCAATTATGTCTTATTTTCCGTGGCGAGGCCCATGCCATGAGGCCTGCGCATTAGCCAGGCCACGCACATTTTTCTACGCTCTTCTCACCGTCTGGCAGAGAAAGGAGATTTCAAAAACATGTTAACTTGTTATTAAACAATTTTCTTTAATTACAGTTTTACTTTATTTTCTAAATAAAGTAAAGCGTGAGGCAAATTTAGTAATGTAAACATTACTAATTTTTTTAATACGTCATCTTTCATTTCATTAATAAGTAATATTTTTAATCCGTGCATCAATAGAACGAAGTTGCAAATTTCGTAATTTAAGCTAATGGGATACATTATTGTTATTTTTGTTCACTAAAATGTAAATAGTTCTACGAAGTGTTTAATTATGATATAATTGGTTTAATAATTTGTGTATACGGTTGTAATAGTTTTCATAAGCACCATGAATAGTCAATTGCACACAGTACATTAAAAAATAAATTTTCATCGTTCCTCAATAAAACAAACCAGAAAAATGTGTATATACAAAGTGATTGTAAAAACTTCTCAAATTATTTTCCTTGTAAACTTTAATTCTAATTAATATTTAGTAAAATCGAAATTTCGCAAGTATGTGGCGATTTACCTCCACAGTCTAGAGTATCGAAATGCAAATGTTGCGCTGTTGCAATTATTAGACGCAAGTCGATCACATACTTTCTGTACTGCCACATCAAACCTTTGTCCACTAATACTGATACAGCGTCGTGCTTTATTCAGGTACATAAGGGATAGTTCTTCAACAAACATCAATTAGTTTTAAAACACAGATTTATATCCTGATATCCAACATTTTGAACAGTCTAAAAAAGTAAAACGATTAAGAACAAGGGTCTTCATCTGACTGCAATCTGCACCAAAGCCCTTTGTAGAAGGTACCACATTTGAAGTACAAAATTCACTAAATTTCACCCATTGTGATCCACAATGCACGTTCAATTACAGTCATTGTTTAAAAATGAAATACGGAGACCAGCGCCACATCGGGTTGTAACATTCAGATTCCAGCGCTGTTTTTAACCCTGACCTCCATTTCAACTCCCCTCCAGCCAGCACCCCTCCCGTAGCCTTGCCGCAGTGCAACTCCGTTTCACCTTCCCTCCCTTCTGCACTCTGCTCTCCAATCCTCCCGTTGATCTCCATTCGGCCTCCCTCTTTCTCCCTGCACCGTTCACTGTTACGCCTTCTTCCTCGCCCTCTTTGCACTGTTCTCGCCCTCGTCATCGTTCCTCTCGACTGTTACACCTCACCATCTCTCAGCCTTTTCCCTGCTCTCATTTCCGCTTTCCCACTCACTTCCAGTCCTTCACCTCCTTCATGACCTTCCCCCTCCTCGCGTTTCATCCCCACTTCTCTTCATCGCCTACCCGCCCACTTCTCCGTCCACATCCCCCCCGTATTTCCCGACTTCGACTTCCATTCCACTCTCTACCCCTCCTCTCCACAGACTCCTCGCCCACTTCTCCGCCAATATCCCGATCTCTCTTTCTACTTCCCGCCAAATTCCTGTCACTTCTCTACACGTTCCGTTCACTCTCTCGACAGTCTTGCAGCCCTCCTCCCCGCATTCCATTTCATTCATTTCTCCTCCTCTCCATTGACTCCGGGAGCACGCACACTCTCTCTCTCTCCCCTCTCCCCCTCTCTCTCTCCTTCTCTAGACGTTTGTGAGGAAAAGAGGGGTGGTTGCTGCAAAACATTCGTGTTTCGTCAGACGCATGTAAATAACACGTGCGTGAGTTTTGGGGCCTGTAAATATTTCAGATCTCATTCAGAGACCAACAGAAATGCTGCGTTGCTGCGGGGAAGCAAAGCAGAGGCCGAGGACGGGCACTGCTTGGCATTGGAGAGCGCGGGCTCACACAGAGGCCGTAAAAATTAATGCTGCGCTCTCGGAAGGAGCGAATTTCTAATAAAGGAGAAATTTCCAGGTGAAAGGTTTACATGCTTCGCTGTATCATTAAATGAAGGTAGTTGACAACGAAAGATCCAACACCATTCATTATGTTACAATACAAGCAACGGAGTTCAGTGATATTTAAAAGAATAAGGTATGAATAAAAAGAAATATATGCTTTCATAATTGATAGAATTGAAGAGCTTATTTACAAAGTGATTTTTTCCCAATAAATACAATTTTGAAGACAGGAAAAGCATTCATTTTCACACTTATTGTGTTCTAGTTAGGATTCGATGATTTTCTGATGTCTTTTAACAAATGAAAACGCGTTTTTAACACAGGATTTGGTAGTATGATGCAGTGAGATCACATGCCAATACTACTGTACACTTGGAGAACAAAAGGGAGCTCGCCGTCGCCGGACGCAGAACAAATTTCAACATAAATGTAAAAAAAAATATTAATTGATCTGGTCATATATTGAGTGAATGCCATCGAATACTTGGGTTCTCTAATCATGGAAAACGCTATAGAGCAGGACATCAAGAAGAGAATAGCGGCATGTAATATATATTATGGTAGTCTCAACCAAATCTTTAAAACCCAAAGAATCTCGAATTCTATTCAAATAGAAATTATATTATATTGTCGTTAGGTCAGTGGTAATGTGCGATAGTGAAACACGAACTCTAATAAAACAGCAAACACACTCGCTCTATGCGAGAGAAAATCTTACGGAAAATATTTAGTCTGATCAGAGAAAAAGAAATGTGGAGAAGTCGAACGAACTATTTAAAAAACCCGAATTATTACACGAATTATGGTCAAACGATGAATGCAGAAGTGTTATCCACGTCGAATGATACTACAGTAGGATTTCGCCGTGTTGAAGCGCAGACCTGACTGTAAGAGATCGCTGAAGTTTTCTAGAAGCCATTAAGGGTGGTGACGGTTTCGTATTGTTCTGATAAGCGTTAAGAAATGTGGATTAGTAATGATAATAATAATAATTGAATACTAATTCGCAAAAATAATTAGTGGAAGATTAAAACAAATATTGAGTTATATATTTAGAGAAAAGTAAAGAAGTTTTAGTGACAGTGTAGATAAGGTCTCAAACTAAACTGAAAAACAAAAAATTTCTGAATGTTTGTTGATTGTGTCTTTTTCCAGTTTCAGGAGTAGATTCACCACTTTAGTTCATATCTGAATTGACAAGCATTATTAGTTTACTAGTTTATATTTCAGGTGCACAAATAAATTGAGAATACTAGCTACGAAAACAAGTTTGTTTCACAACTACTGCATTAATTTACAGCTAATTCACTAATTGATAATTTATTGTATTTACCATATGTAGTCCAAACTATAACTTAATTAAGCAGTTATTGGATATAAAATACTATCAAACAGTAACTTTCACTCCTTGAAATATGAAAATTTTCAATAGTGCACTAATAACAACAACAAAAAGACGCAAATTCATGTGCAGTTCTGCAACTTAAAATGGAAACTATCAGTGTTGCCAGAACTATAACATACACTTCCTTCTCCGAGTTTCACACCTTCCTCACTCTTCTCTACTCTCCCCCACGAGAGAAGTCTTGTGAACGCAGTGGGCTGTGTATGGGGAACACGCGAATTCGTAGTTATCCCACAAGAACACGTTACATTCTATTACACATTCTGCATCATTTTAAATACAAAATTACACCTGATTTATGTTGATTTATTGTCACTAGTCATAAGTCATAAGTCTATGAATGTTCTCATATATTACTATTCTTGCTTTGATCATCAATAGCACTACTTAGCTTCGCCATGTGAAGGCCGCAAGCGAGATTAATTTATCTCCTACTTGGTGATGCCCGGTGCGCTAGCAATGACATTTACGCACGCGGATCAGGAGTGATAAATCAATGGATTCTATTGGTTTATATTTTTTTCGTGTACAGGCTCACTCGGACCACGCGTGCATCCTGCTTCAACAGTTGCAAGTACCTTTATCTGGAGGAGTCCGAATTTTAGCTGAATACCGATTTGTATCCCCCATGGTTATTAGCCCTTGGAGTTATTGCCTGATATTATATTAAAGAAGTCAACATAGACAAATATCTTAACAAAAATATTCGCACGTACGACGGTTATAGATCTAACCCAATAAAATAAATCCATTTTTGTTACCTACATGAGGTTTTATCAAACTACAGCCTCTGAACTGATTTTAAACATATTTTACGTGAAAATAAAAAAGGTTGTAAAACGTATTCAAATAGTCACAAAACAAAATTTAAGAATAATAAAATCTGGACTTTTGTTAAAAAAATCCAGCTACAAAATTATTTTAGCAGTTTTTTGTCTTTCGAACAGTAGGTAATTGATGACGTTTGCTGACCAATCTAAATCTGCGTTTACAATAAATAAGGTTGACCAAGTCAACATCTCTTATTATTTAAACAAAAGTAGAGATTTCTTTTCGTAGAAAGTGGCATGCCAGAAGAACTGATGAAAATTTCTAGACAACAAAAATATACCACTACCAACAGTGAAAAATCGAAATTTTTTCTGTGTTGTCAATGCACAGAATGAATATATTTTTTCTTTCATTTAAACAGCACTTCTACAATTTTAGACTAACATTTTTATTAACATTTAAACACCACATCGTTAGGAGATTATTGTTGCCCCGTCATCAGGTAAAATACTGTAAAATACATAAAATTTTACATTAATTAGCAAAAGATAAAATACAAATAGAATTTTAGATTAGCATTAGTGATAAACTACCTTTGCAATATGACGTGAAACAGACATAAACTCAACATTCTTTGGGTCCACAATGAGCTCCGAAAAGTTGCGAAATGTTTTAAATTTTAATAAACATGTCTGTGTAAAAAAAAAGAGGTGTTTAAATGAAAGATAAAATAGCTTTAAGGACAGGCTGATATAAAATCAATTATTTAATTTTCATAATTTCTCCTTCTTTGGGCCCTAGTTGCAGTTTTTTGCAGTTGCAGTTGAACTTCATTCGAAAACCAAAGTTCACAAACGTCTACAGTAATTAAACGGTTGCAACTCTTATTCGAGTTAATAGAAGGAACCTTGTTTGTTTATTTGTAGGTAGATTCGGCGGCAAGTTGGTTTAGGAGCGGAACAACAGCAGCGCAACGCAACGCAACGGGTGGGATTTGAGTCACCGGGGGGGAGGGGACGCTGTGCTGGGGATGGCGTCCTGTGTTGGCTGGAATTATTCAGCGCCGGCGGCGGCGGCGGCAGCGCCAGGGCTGCGCTCGAGGCGCGGCCGACCTCGAAAATTATCCACTATTAATTAGCGAGTAATCGGCGCGAGCCGGCCGCGGCGGCAGCTGCGCCCTGCGGCCCCGCCCCCGGCCGCCGCGGAAAGGACCGCTGGCGCGCAGGGACACGGCGCGCTGGCCTTCGCTGGGGGAGGGGGGAGGAAGACGGTTGGGGGTTGATGATGAAGCTTTGAATGACGTGGTAGTGAAGACAGGATGACGGTGATGGAATAGTAGGCTTGATGGAGATGGTACTGGTACGAAGAGCGAAGAGATTTCTGGTGACGGTGATGTAGTGCTAAGTAACAGTAGAGATGCTAGTGATTTCGGTGGTGATGTTGAGGGTTCATATTGCTGTTGCCAGTTACACCCCCGGTGCCTTGCGACTTTTGTCCTTTAAAGATTCTTTTAGTGGTAATAGAAGCGCAAGGTTAAATTGAGAATGGTGAGGATTGGATGGTTATTGGTGATCAGGTTTATTACGGGTGTCTTAATCCTTACCTACATCTGTTACCAGAGGAGTTTAAGGTCTGCGGTAGGGCAAGTACCCCGTAAAATGACATCCAAAGACGTCGGAATGAGGTGTAAATCATCTCCCGAGAACATAAATAGTGTTTCTTCCCCACCTAAAAGCCTTACAGATGTGTAGGGTCGTGCCGGAGACATACACCACTCACCTGCGATCTTCAATTTGTCATGAGTTGGGAAATTGCCATGACGAATTAGAGACCCAACTGGGGGCCAACAGGTCTGTTTTGGCTGGAGGCGAAAACGATGTCCCTTCTCGAAGGAACCACTTCACGCTAATCATGAAACAAATGTCAAACTGGACAACCGAATAGAAGTTTCCAACACCCCGTCACTTTCGTAAGTGGGACAAAGTGCCAAGGCCTGAAGACAACCAAGGCACCTATCGCGGATGACGGTGGCGATCGTGTTGTCTGGGGTCTGGCTGACGGAACTGATTATGTGACCCGTGGCGTCTCCATCAACCATGCCGCTACTTGCCCGTCGAAAGGTATTCTGGCGGTAACGGCGGCGCTGGATGCATATAAGAGGATGTTTTCCTACTGGAAAGGTCTAGCTCTAGTAAAAATATTTCTCAAGAAATGAAGCCTTTTGTAATTTGCCACCAACTACCTTTTGAA